ATTCTTGCCAGTGTTTAACCATTCAGCGCTTGCGCGCTCTCCTGGAGACCGTGCGCTCATGCCCACTCACAGCGCACACACATAATGCCAAGTTCACATTACTCCGTTTGCAGTGCGTATGTGGTGCGTATTTTTTTCCGCGCTCATGTTAATGGATTAATAAAGCGCGCACACTGCACACCGTTGCTGTCCGGCAGTGCGTTCCACGAGCGGTGCGTCTGCAGCAGTGCAAAGATGGTTTCCGCACTGAGTCTATTTTTACTGCGCTGCAAGCGCTGAATTAAAGTGACAGTGCATTGTTTGCAGTAAATATGAACATGGATTGACACGAAAATGTAGTAATTACACCATAAATGCATATTATTAAAGTCTACTGTATTTCACAGTCAACACATATGGCAGGTAGGAAAACAAAGTTCTTTATGAACCGCAGGATTGCATTTAATAAAGATTTAAATGCAAAAGGAAAGGCAGTAGAGCTGACTATTTCTGTCAATGGTAAGTTTGTGATAACGCAAGAAAAGTAGTTTAAATGTTTTGCCACTTGCTTGAGCAACTTAATATATAAATCTAAAGTAAACGCAAAAGTAACAGCATTGAATAATGTGTTGCTTATGTTTATTGTTTAAACATGTCTTTGAAAGATTGTATTACTGTACTGTGTAAAAAAATAAAGTAAACGCAAAAGTAACAGCATTGAATAATGTGTTGCTTATGTTTATTGTTTAAACATGTCTTTGAAAGATTATATTACTGTACTGTGTAAAAAAAAAATTGCAATGCTGAAAAAGCATTTTCAATGACAATGTTTGGATTTGAAATCAAAATAATGGATAAATGTTGTGTTTGTGGTAAACAGCCACGGATCAGTAGCGGACTCCTGTGTGAAAGCTGCTTCACCCCTCACAAGAGTCACCTAAGAGGGGAATTCCCCCCATTTTCAAAAATGAAATTCAGGCCCTGAATAAATGTCTAAAAATCCTGATTGGAGTATCACTATAGTTATAAATGATAAAAAAAAAAGAAGGCTTTAAAAAGATCGGTATCGGTGATCGGTATCGGCAGATACTGCTTTCTGTGATCGGCGATCAGTGGTTGGCCTCAAAAATCCTGATCGGAGCACCCCTACTAAATAGACTTTATTAGAGCCACAGAAGACAATCGGTTCACTGAAAAATGCACAATACACAATTTTACAGCCTAGGGTGAACTCATTAAGTCCATTAACAATGATTTGAGACAAATACAATGTAATTTAATGGAAAACTGTTTGCGTCACATTGCTTTAATCGTTTGAGGTAAAACGTATGTTCATGTCCTCTCATCCTTGATGGCAAACTTACTGCTGTTCTTTCTCCATTAATGCAACAAATGAATTACTATATAAACATGTAAACATGCACTACACAGTACACGTTTAGTTGGCGATGTTTTTAATTCGCATCTGAAGGGTCCCGCTCTGTGCAGCACGCAGTGTCAGGTGTCAAAACAAACAACACGAGGTGTCAGTGATTTCCACCTCTAGAGACCACTCTTGTACTATATAATGATAGCGGACCTTTCTCAGCCGCTGATGTTTGGTGCAGATTTTTGCCAATAGCAATCAACTATCGGTGCCGATTAATCGGCAAAGGGTGTTAAACAACAATCAGATCTATTAAACAGCATGTGGAAAAAGTGTTCTACAGGGTTGAAAACCTAGTAACAAATTTGGACCAATTCCGATAAGTCAATTATTTTCATGATATGGCCAATAACCGACAAATGGACAATATTACAATTCTGTACTATGTTGTCTAAATAAACTCAAAATAAAACACTAAAATTACAATAAATCATTTAAATCTTTAACATGTTAGATGACAGCACAACTAATCTAAATCTACATTTTCATTTAAAAGTCTGGGGTTGGTAAAATTTATGTTTTTGAAAGTCTCTTATGCTCTCCATAGCTGAATTTATTTGATCAAAAATACAGTAAAAACTTTATATTGTGAATTATTATTACAATTTAAAATAACGGTTTTCTAAATATAATTTTAAAATGTAATTTATTCCTGTGATGGTAAAGCTGAATTTTCAGCATCATTACTCCAGTCTTCAGTGTCACATGATCTTTCAGAAATCATTCTAATATACTGATTTGCTGCTGAAGAAACTTTTCTTATTATTATAAATTTTGAAAACAGTCATGCTGCTTAATACTTTGTGGAAACTTTTTAAGCTTCTTTGAGAAATATAAAGATTAAAAAAGAAATGTATTTATTTTTTGTAACATTATAAATGTCAGTAATTTATATCAATTTAATGTATCATTGCTGAATACACATTTAATTTCATGAAATAAATACATAAACTTGCTAAACTTTTGAATGATAAGTGTACATGCTCAATTCCCATATTTATACAAATAAATATCCAATATTGACCATTGTTGATCAAAATAAAAATAAAACCATTCCGATACAGTTCCAATAACCCATAAGTTGTTATTTACTGAAGACAATGGAAACACATTGTGCCACTAAAAACACTCTTGGCTGCATGATTTGACAAGCCACAGGACAGCCCCATGTTTCCATGAGAGCTCGGAGTATTTCCTCTTCTCTGGTTCACGTAGGCAGGCCGGTGCTGTACTTTTTAAGAGGCTTGGTAGAGAGAGCATGTGTTGTTGATCAGGTCAGTCTGGCCTCCTTCAGCCCCAGCTGGAGTTTGTCAGGCTCTGCCTCCCCAGGTGTGGGGATATTGGGAGTCTTTACATAAGCCCCTTAGTGAGTAGATGAACACGGCTGTTTCCAGTGCACCAGCTGAATCACCACTGTTGCATAACAACATTTAGGCACTTGGTAATTCACACATTAGGATTGTACTGTTGACCATTAATGCCACAGAAACATGTATAAGATGTGTAACCTAACTCTAGAGTGCACAGTCGAGGCGTGACAACCGCTCTGATTGTGCCATCCTGCAGCAAACAAAAACAACGTTTTTATGTAAACAGCCACACAAAAATCAGCTGATCTACTTCTTCCTACTTTGTCTGCAAACTTCAATGGACTTCTGCATTAAAAAAAAAGTTTGAGTAATTTACTGGGTGGCTTATCTATTCAGATTTAGGATCTTGCTTTGGAACCAGTGGTTGTTTTTTAAGCTGTTTCTGGAGAGAAGTACAAAGAGGAGGCGTGGAGTATTTCTCCACCGAAGTACTGCAGAGAACGGATCACAATAAACAACTCTGGCCAGCAATGAGATCATTGCACACAACTCCAACTGCAAAACGAAAACGACGGAGTTGCGCAAGAGCACAAAGCTCATAAAACCACAAGGAACCATATACATCCCAAATTGCAATGCAAAAACTTTGCATCACAATTCAAACCATAAAGGCCTGCACAGGATGCTTCAAAAGAAACTGGTACTAAGCCTAGGACCATATACATAATAACTGGCAGCCTTTAATAACTTAATTGTGGTGAGTCATAAGAACTTATGAGAAAGGTACATTAAAGGCAGCTGCCTACAACAATACCAGTTGCCTCAGGCCCCCAAAAACGAAAGCAAATATTACATCACCAGTTCTTTTCACAAGACCCTGCGGAAGTTAAGCTGAAACTTGCACGCGAAGAGAACTTGCCAAGTTCTTCAAGTTGAGCATAACAGACCTTTTATAAAAGTTCTTATAATTAAAGAACTCTAGCAACATGTAGAAACAACTCAAAAGTTGCAAGTATCTGATCACACATGCAACAGACAGCATGCAATACTAACGCTATATGTGTGTTTACTTGTGACAAACTATTTCACTTCCTCTTCTGTCAGTCATTTAATTATCAGACCTGACAAATCAGTGAGTCATAACAAAAATATAGCATAGCAAAGTCTTTAAAAGGCAAAAAATAATTAGCTGACTGAAAATATTAGATGTTTAAGCCACAAAATACAGGCTAAACTCGCCATAAGATTGTCTTTGACAGGACATGCGAGAACATAGCCACCAAAAATAATCATTTCAAATGTGAGACTCCTACACATACTTGAAAAATTATGAACATAACGACACATTAAAATACAGCTGACAGTTCAGCAAACAACATGCAGAACAGTGTATTTAGGAATGGCAAAGCTGAATTTCGTCTAAACTGATCTGGACTCTTCAGTGTTTGTTTTGTAGTACTAGTACAAATACTAATATACAGCAGCTCTGTAGACAATAGCATTTCTAATAATATGTAGTCCATAAAGCATAACTGGTTAGGCTGGACTGCCTGATTCTGTATTTCCACCCAAGAAAAGGCTCGATATCACATAACATTGATGAAAATATTTATTTACATACAAACACGAGCCTAATGTCTGTTGAAACTAATCTCCAGTTAACTGACGTGTTAAACTAGCTGGTTATCTATCAAAATAGCGCTGGTTAGTGGGGGGTTTTCTGGTTTTTGAGCAATACTGAATAGGACTTTCAATAGCAGATGACTGAGGGACACTGGGAATCCATTTGACGTTTCAAAACAAAATATGATGTGCACTTTTATTAAACTGACAGATAATACCGACTCTCTCAATAAACGAAAAAATACAGTTAACAATTGCTTACCCAAATAAATGTCACCAAAGGATCCAGAGCCAATTTTCCTTCCCAGTCTGTATCGGTTTCCTACTCTCAGTTCCATGATAAATGGCTAAATAACAAAGCTAGCGATAAAGCTAGCTTTAACGGGAGTGATTTAAATGATATATGTTCGGAGTGTTTAAAAAAAGCAACGAAAACCCGTTCTTTGTTATCTGTCTATTCTTCCGTCTCTCCCAGCCAGAATCCCCTTATACAGCCTGCTAGCTTGCTAATTCCCTTCACAGTGCTACCCAATTTTCACCAGTCGTTTTCTAACGTTCCGAATCGGGAAATATCAAAATATTAGGCTTATTAAAAAGAGTACACTGTGAACTTTATGCTCTAGTTATTTTTACCCTGAAAAAAGTCTGTTTAAAAAAGGATGAAGGCCGATTTTGAGAACGACTCCCTTCTAGCTCCGCTGGCCCTGAAACTGCCGTTGACTCTGTGTAATATGTATCTGCTACTACAACAGAAGCTGCATCAGCGCAAGAATCCAGCGGGCTGCGCTGACGTCACTTCCCCTAGCAACAGCGGGCCAGTGGAAAATCTTCCAACCCTTCTCAAATCTTCGGTTAAGACAACAAACCGTCTGCTAGGATTATTTCGTGATAAATCGGTTGAAAAAAGGATGAAGGCGGATTTTGAGAACGACTCCCTTCTAGCTCCGCTGGCCCTGAAACTGCCGTTGACTCTGTGTAATGTGTATCTGCTACTACAACAGAAGCTGCATCAGCGCAAGAATCCAGCGGGCTGCGCTGACGTCACTTCCCCTAGCAACAGCGGGCCAGTGGAAAATCTTCCAACCCTTCTCAAATCTTCGGTTAAGACAACAAACCGTCTGCTAGGATTATTTCGTGATAAATCGGTTGAAATTTTGAAACATCCATAACCGTAGTTCCATTGATATACATGAAAAATGTTTATTAAAACGTAGTTAAGTGTTTTACTAGCGATATTCCCACTAATAAGTCTGGACAATGTAGAGGGATGTAAATCAATGTGTATAAATAAACATTCACACTGCTATTCAAAAGTTTGGGATCAGTAAGATTTTTAATGTGTTTTAAAGAAGTCTCTTCTGCTCATCATTATTTGACCAAATATACAGAAAAAACAGTAATATTGTAAAATATTACCAGTTACAATAATGGTTTTCTATTTTAATATACTTTGAAATATTATTTATTTCTGTGAATCAAAGCTGAATTTTCAGCATCATTACTCCAGTCTTCAGTGTCACATGATCCTTCAGAAATCATTCTAATATGCTGATTTATTATCAATGTTGGAAACATTGTTGGCTGCTTAATATTTTTTGGAACCCGTGATACTTTTTTCAGGATTATTTGATGAATAAAGTTAAAAAGAACAGCATTTATTTCAAATAGAAATATTTTCTAACAATTAAAGTCTTTATTATCACTTTTTTTGCTGAATAAAAGCATTCATTTCTTTA